TTTAGGGTTTAGGGTTAAGTAGATAGAATATGGCTTTGGGTATTTTATAATAAGATCCCCATATACCCCATATTCTATCTACTTCAGAGGGACTATAGCCAGTTCCCATGTTGGGAGCAAAAAGCAAGAAAGAAGCGGAATGCAACACAGCAGTGGAGGGTAAATCAGACTCGTTCGTTTAGAAAGGGCACGTCTGCATGTTGTCATTCTCTCCCAAAGGGTCCATGTAGGTACATGGTATATACTCAGGCCTTTAAAGTTTGTACTATGTACGTCGAGCCTTTGGGTCTCTACAGCACCAAGGAATCTGGGGCCATTTAAGCTACCAACGGCTCTTACTTCAGGTTGCCTTTTCATTGCCTTGGCTTTGGCAAGACTGTCCGAGACGAAGCCGTAATGGGCATTAGTAGGGAATAAGGGAATATGTTGTATAGGGGATACTTTGGGGATTATATTCCCGTATTCCCTACCCTTAACCCTAAACCTCTAATCCTAAACCCTAAATCCTAAATTCCCTAAATCCTAAGCACTATATTTGCCTACATGGACCTTTTAGGTCCCAGTATTCCTTACCCTAGCCCCGAAGCCCTAATCCCTAATCCCTAAACCCTAAACCCTAAACCGCATTTCCCAGACAAAGCAGGATGGTGTCGCCCCAGGGCCTTTGCCTGTGGGTGCGGTGGCTGTCGCCACGAGCCTGCCGGAGCTGGCGGCAAGGCTAGATTGCACCCAAAGGGTGCATGTAGGTTGTTGGTATAGGGTTTTCATCTAGGGTTCAGCGCTCAGGGTTTAGTGTTTAGGGCTTGGGGAAGGTAAATAGCATGTACTTAGGCCGTAAAGGTATATATTATATACCTAGATTGGAAACCCCTAGCGCCTAGATTCCCCAGAGAAGCTTCAGATCTAGATTTCTGAGTCTTCTCCCAGGATTTTTTTGTCCAGCTTCTTATGCTCTCACCCCACATCCCTCCTTGCAAGCGAGAGGACTTTTGCCGAAGGCTGTGCTGGAGAGACTCTGAGCGTGGCAAAGGCCCGGCGGGACTGGCGGATTCGTGCTATTGTTAAGATGGCTCCCGTTTGTAGAGTTATTCTTATTTTTCATATTGTCATCAACAACAGCAGCAACAACAACAACAACAGCATCAGCGCGTGTGTCGTTATAATGTTTTTGATTCTGTGCTGTTCTTACTGTCATAAGACTTTACGAACACTCCTGAGGAGGACTAGTGTTGATGCTACAGCTTTTAACCTTCATAGGTACTGATGCTAGTTCGACAGTGTGGTGGGGAGTGGTTGGTACTGCCTATGCTGGCAGGGTACTACTCGCGTTATCATTTACATAGCTGCCAATCTTTGTCTTCCCTATCCGCCTGGCCGCCATGCTCCTTGCACTCTGTGGAACCTGGGGTCACCGGTGGATAAGGGAGCCTCTTTCTGAAGAGTTACAACAGGCTACAATCAAATTCTGAATAAAATCGTCCACCCTAAACCTCAAACTCAAACCCTACAGCCTAAATCCTAAACCTTCACGTATGAAACCATAAACCCTAAATCTTCAAGTGCTAAACCCTAAACCCCAAACCTTCAAGTTGAAACCCTAAACCCTAGACCTTATGTATTGACCCGCCCACCGCCCCTTTGGTTCTGTAGGTGAGCCTGTGGTTCTGTAGGTGAGTGGGCACGTCGAGCGCCAGCGAGACCATGGCAGGTTCTGCTGAGCTGCAGAGCCTGTTGAGCCACCACTAAGGCCATCGCCAAGCTTGGTCGGCAAGCGCTGTCACGCTCAATATTATATTAGTTGCCCTAAACCCCGTAAAGATTGCTCTCGAAAAGGTTCCCTAGGACAAGACGCTAAACCCTCAGGACCGAACGCTAAACCCTCAGGACCAGACGCTAAACCCTCAGGACCGAACGCTAAAGCCTCAGGACCAGATGCTAAACCCTCAGGACTAAACGCTAGAGCTTAACCTTTTCGAGCCTCTGCCCGACCTTTTTTCAAGCCTCTCCCAGACTATTTCTGAGCGTTTTCGAGCCTCTCCCAGACCTTTTCTATAGCTCTCCCAGACCGTTTCTGAGCGTTTTGGAACCTCGTCTCCCGGAGCGTTTTCAGCCTGTCAGAGAGGGAGAGAGAGCGTTTTCCGGTCTCCCTCAGACGGTTTCTGGGTGTTTTCTGTCGAGCTGTTCCGAGCCTTGTCCAGACCGCGTTTGCTTCTGAGCGTTTTCGAGCCTCTCGCAGACAAGAGCAATGCCATTTGCAGGAATCGAGACATGACGATGGCGGGCAGCTCACGTGACATGGAGCGGGGTAGAAATGTGAAAGGGCCCTTGGGCCCAGACCGTCCTCCAGCGCAAAACTTCATTTTTTCGTCTGAGGCAGTTAAGTAAAGCAATTACGCTCTTACAAAGTCATGGCAGCCTTGACAGCATGGATGGGTGCTTACGAAATGGCTCGGGCTTGGCTGGCTTTGGCTTATTCGGCTAGCTGGTTTTTATTGCTGTGAGTCGTGTTTGGGTGGCCTTGGGGTGGGCGTGTCTGGATACTAAGCGTCCAGCGGACCAATCCTACACCCTAAACCTTAAACCCTCAACCCTGAACCTTCAAATACTAAACCCTATACGTTAAACCTTAAACCCTGAACCTTAAACAACAAACCCTGAACCTTCAAGTACTAAACCTTAAAGTGCTTAACCCCAAACCCTAAACCTTAAGCCTTAAACCTTCAAGTACTATTCCCCAAACAAGGCCCAGCTCGAACTGATGTCCGGCCGCTTCCTGCCTGAGGAAGAGGCAGGATGGCTTGACAGAAGGGTTGTGGAAGACATCTAGTTTTTATATTTATGTGTACATACTCAGGGTTTAGGGATTAGAGTTTAGGGGTTTGGGTTTGGGGATTAGGGTTTAGGGGTTTAGGGTTCAGGATTTAGGGCTTACAGTTTAGGGATTAGGGTATATATGTATACACATATATATATATGTATGTATTTGTACATACAGAGTTCAGGTTTAGGATGAAAGTTTCAGGGTTTAGAAAATAGGGTTCAGGGTGCAGGGATGCATATCAGTAAATTAGTGCTTGGGGATATCGGAGAGTGGTTTAGGGATTGGGGTTTAGGTTTTCAGTGGCCCTTGCATAGTGGTTACATATGGGTTACATGCGTGCTAGATACTGCGCGCCATTTGTCTTTGTTTCGTCGGGTGGTCGAAACCGTTGATGTGTACCGGTAGACCCTCGAAGTATCTCAAATAGGGGTTACGGGGTCCCTAGTCCCACCAGTGGATATTTGCGGGGGATGTAGTATAGGCGTGGGAATCCAAGTAAGGTTCAGGGTTTTGGGTCGAATGTGTTTGCATGTCGGTATTGAGGAAGGATTTTTTCCGTAGACTTAGCGCCCTGTGGTAAGAAAGGAAAGTCATAATCCCAGAAAGTCACGTACCCCAATCCCTAAACCCTAAAACCTTTAAAACCTCAGCCCTAAAACCCTCATCCCGAAACCCTAAAACCCGAAACTCCTGAACCCTGATCCCCACACCCAAAACCCCGAAGACCCTTAAAACCCTTAAAACCCTAACTCCGAAAACCCTAACACCCTAAACCACAACCCCTAAACCCTACAACCAGCATCCCTAAATCCTGAAATCCTTAAACCTGCAATCCTAAGATCCGCAAACCCTAAGTCCTAAAACCCTAAACCCTAACCCCTAAAACACTAAACTCTAATCCCTAAACCCTGAAACCCTTAAACCTTCAACCCTCAACCTAGGGGAGAGCCCAGCTTGAGCTGTAGCTATAATCCAAACTCCCAGCATCCCCCTTCATAACCCCTAAAACCTTAAACCCTAGAACCTAAGCCCTAAACCCTAAACCCCAAATCCTAAACCCTGAACCCTAAACCTTACGTAACCCAAAGCCGACCTAAGTCATCCAGAAGGCTGCCCTGCGCGCCGTCTACGCAGACGAGGCCACCTTGGCGTCAGTAAGGGTTTAGGGATGTTCGGGTTTTGGGTTTAGAGATTAGGGATTAGGGCTTAGGGATTAGGGTTTAGGGTTTAGGATTTAGGGTTCAGGGTTTAGGGATATTAGGGTTTTGGGTCTAGGGATATTAGGGTTATAGGGGTTATATAGGGTTTATAGGGGTTGTATAGGATTTATATAGGGATACAGTAATATTAGGGTTATATTGGGTTATATATAGGGATATATTGGGGTAATATTAGGGTTATTGGGATTATATAATAATGGAAAAGGAAATGGAAACTACTAATTAGTGTTTAGGGTTTAGGATTTAGGGTTTAGGGTTTCAGGGCATTGTAGGGTTTCACGGTTTTAGGGCTTAGGGTTTAAGACTTCAGAATTCTTCTAGACCACTTCTCCCCTCCACTCTCGCGATTCTTACCCTACCTTTCCTTGACCTCATCCTATACCCGTCAAAGCCAGCTCACCATGAGCCCTACGGGTTTAGGGTTTAGGGTTTTAGGGTTTAGGGTTTAGCCTGTAAGGGTTTAGCGTTTAGGGAATTTTTGGGCTCAGGGTTTGGAGTTTGAGGGTTCAAGGTCCTCCATGGAGGAGCTGAATGCGGGATACCGGTGGCGTTTTCAGTCTGAGAGGGCCCGAGCTGTGCTCCCTTTTGAACCCACTTAGGGTTTGGGGTTTAGGGTTTAGGCCCTAAACCCCCATTTCCTTTTCCTTATTTTGGTTCGTTTAAACCCTTAACAGCCTGGAACCCCTAAACTTGAATCCTCATGCACCTCTTACACCCTGCACCTCCAAACTGTTAGACCCTCAAACCCGAAGTCCTGTAAACCCAAGGCGTTTAGCAACTTAAACCCCACATCCTAGAACCCGTGAACCTTAAAACTTGGGTACTGCCCCCACCCAGTAACAGTCTATATTAGGGGTCCTATTAAGGGCTATATATATATATAACCATAATATATTTATTATCCAACTGTTACTGAGTGGGGGCAGTACCCAACTTGAAACCCTCAAAAACCCTACAGTCCTTACCAACTTCAAAGCCCTAACACCTTCTGACACTCGCAAAAACCAGGAAAAAATAACAACTAGAATCCCTTAAACCCCCCCCAAAAAAACCCTAAAACCTAGATCCTAAGCCCTAATCCCTAAACCCCTAAACCCTAAACCCCTAAACCCCTAAACCCTAAACCCCTAGAGGCGCGTCATGCAGCCTTGGCTTGGCGTACTGTGGCCTGGGCGTTGAGAGAGGCTGCGTTCCAGTGAAACCCTCCCAAAGGGTCCATGTAGGGCTTTTTTGGGGGGATTATTTAGGGTTTAGGGTTTGGGTCCATGTAGGCCATATTAGGGGATTATTGAGGGTTGCGGGTTTAGGGTTTAGGCTCTAAACTCCTTAAAGGGCGGAATATAGGGAACCATTATAGGGGTTACTAAGATGGATACTAGGAGTTTAGACAATCGTTCATATAGTGTAGTTTTGTTTTACTTCTTGATGTATAGTATGTACCTGCATGGACGCTTTGGGCCTACGGGCTTAGGGTTTGGGGTTTAAAGACTCTGGGATTTAGTCAGGCAGATACCCAGGTAAGTAGGGTTTACCTACCTCCCACTCATTATCATTGCCTTTGATCCAAGGTGATGGGTCTAATGGCTATTGTTATTGTATATTTGAGGTTTACCCTAAGGGTTCAAGGACCCAAATAATAGGGTTTCAGGGTCCAAATATCATTATAGTATAGTATTTGGGCCCTCAAACCCTACTATTTGGGCCCTTGGACCCTTAGGGTTAGGTAGGGTCAAGGTGTAGGGGCCTTTGGGTTTGAGGGCTTGACGCAGGCTTTGCAGGTGTTGTGAGGGTCCATCCTGTCCATCTTTTCCTCGACACGTCCCGAAGACACACTTGCCCAAACAAAGCTGAAGGCCCAAAAAGATAATGACATTTGCAGCAACGTTAGTTACCTACTGCTGTAATCGCTTCCTTCTAAAAAGTGGGCCATATCAGCTTCCATGTTCGTCGGAGCCGGGTATCAACGACAAACCTAGCCCTAAACCTTAAGCTCGGGTCCGTAGGCTCCTTAAACCCTAATACCTGGGTACTGCCCCCACTCAGTAACAGTTGGATAGTAATGAGAATATGGTTATATATAGCCCTTAATTAGGACCCCTAATATAGACTGTTACTGGGTGGGGGCAGTGCCCAATTTATGGGCTTAATAAACCCTATACCCTAAATCCCGTACCCTAAGCCCTAAACCCTAAAGCCTAAAACCCTAAACCCCAAACCCTAAACCTTAAGACCTACACCGCCCGAGATTGCCCAAGCAATCGCTGACAGGACCCTGCGCCTGTAGCCAAAGTGCTACGTGATGCAGAGGCCAGAGGATATCTTCACGTCTTAAGGATGTAAGGTTAAAGGTTTAGGTTTGAGACCGCGCTTGCATAGGGGTCTCTTTGGGGGTTCCCATCATGAGGGCGCGAGTGTGTTGGGACCTATTTTGAGGCCACGCACTGAATGGAAACGTCCATGTGACGATGCAACGCGCGAAACTAGCAAGCGTCTTAGTTGTTTGAAGCTTCCCATCGTGGCACAACTGGAACTACCTGGACCCCAAAAGTATGTAAAATAATGGCCTTTCTGGCTACTATTAGGGGTTTAGGGCCATTATTTTAAATACTTTTGGGGTTTGGGTAGGGTCTGTTCAATAGAGCCTCCAGGTTCAGGTTTAAGCCCCCAGGAACGTAATCGTTGTAACGTTGTAACGTAATCGCCATCATGAGCTGGCCGGCCATCCAGCGACTGAACAGGAGGGCTTCAACAGCTGTTGCTTAGGTGATTCGCTTCTCTGTTTTAGGCGTTGATGCGCAAGAAGAGCAAAGGAGAAACTTAGCCCTGCCAAACACCCCTAACAATTGCACTATTATCCATTATTTCGGGTAAGAGGGCCATTACCTAAACCCTAACCCGAAGCATCAAAATCACGGAAAAACCTTAAATAGCATTTTCTTTGGGACCAAATTCCTTCAACTATGAACCCTTAGGGTACACCCTACCTTAAACACCCTAACCCCTAAGCCGGGTATATGGGAGGTCTGGACCCTAAATCCTAAACCCTTAACCTCTAAACCCTAAAACCCCAAACCCTAAACCCCTCAACCCTAGACTTGCGGAGGCAAAGCTGGCAGCGGCCCAACAGACCACAGTCACTGTGCTTTGAGGTTCCCAAAGGATCCATGGGAGCTATAGGGATTAGGGTTTAGGGTTTAGGGGTTCAAGGGTTTAGGGTTTAAGGGTTTAGGGTTTAGGGGTTTAAGGGTTTATAGGGTTTAGGGAAGGGTTTAGGGATATGAGGGTTATAGGGGTTATATAGGGATAATGGTGGGGTTTAGGGTATAGGGTTTAGGATCTGGTGTTTAGGATTCAGGGTTCAGGTTATGGGTTCAGGGTATAGGGTTTTTTTGCTAGGGCCATGCTCTCGCTTGTCTGCGTCTGCGCGCTTTTTGACGCCAACTCAAGGGGATCTCGCAGGAAGCTTTTCCTTGTTGTGTACCTAAAGTGTGGGCCTAATATCCTTGCGGTGTGGTCAGACAGTTCTGGGTGATATCTTTCAAGCATAACTTCAACCCAGTATGGAAATTGCATACCACGTCTTCTGCCATGAGCTAGTATGCGATCTTTATTTCCTGCGCAGAACACCACGTTATAGATGGGGCTTTCTTCTGGGGATTCAAAGACTTCATGCAACATCTTGTATTGTGTAACCTTTAGAGATTCGGATGGGCGGTTTGGTCGTTAGGCTTGGGTCCATACGTCTTGATTCGAAATTCTGGAGTAGTAAGATGCTTTGATGCCGATTGCCCTTTTCAAGAATCTATAAAATTGGCGGTCAATTTTCTTGAGGTGTTTGTCGGTGACAGTTAGGTCGTCCAAACCGTAAGTAAGACGGGGAACAAATGTAGACATGAAGAGTTTTACTTTTCTATTTTTCTTTTCTACTTTTGGCCATGTTACAGTTCCAGACAAGGTTTTTTTTGTACGCTGTTTCGGTTATGCCCAACCTATGAAAAATGCCGTCTCAACAGGTTTATCCCACGATATCATGGAACCGAGGTATTTAGCCTGTTTGACTATCTCAACCTTGTTACGCGAAACAAAGAATACAGGGTCGGGTCTATCCAACTTGGAAAGGAGTTCGGTTTTGGACTCGTTCAGCTGCATACCATATTTTGCTGCTTCATTGGTTCAAAAAGAAAGTGGGAGCAGTCTTTGAAAAAGTCTTTCTGCAAGGAGCTTTGGCAACATAAACTTGTCGACGAAATCACGTAGACTCGGTAGAATTGAAACAGCGCGAACTGCAATGCCACGGTGGACGTCTCACCTAGCGGTAATGGTAATGGTAGCTGGAGCTCCTTGCTGATGTTGCTCGAAGACGCGAGCTTGAATCTTTTTGTTGTGGTGTACACATGTGCACCCCTGAGGTTTTTGACAGCTGCGATCTTCATCCTCTACATCCGTTGCCGCGAGGCGTACTAACCCAGGGTGGCGGGTAAACAATGGACTGACTCACATGGGCTGTAGGACACCTGGGTCTTGAGCACCTAGCAGCGTCAGTCCATTCTTTGACCACCACCCATCTAGGAGGGATGATAAGGTTGAAATGTTCATTTCTGATATCGTTTCGACTTCTCTTGCACGCCTCAGCCTTGAGCGTCCAGAGCATTACATTGTCACTCCCCTGATCGCTGCATAGCTACGTCTTGCAAACCATGTCCTCGCTCAGCTTGTCTGCTGCTTCTGGGATTGCATTAGGCAGTGTTGCAGGACTCGTTTTCAGATTGGTAGAGCTTGTGAATGGATAGTAGAGTAAGCTTCCAGGTGATGGGAATGACCGAAGAACAGATGGCGGCGTGGGCGATCGCTCAATCGCAGCAGGAGCATGAGGAGCTGCTCACGCAGTACGAGGATGGACTGGTGCAAGATTTCTCTATTCTTAGAGCTTATTTGGGAGAAGGTTATTTAGGAGGGTTGCTTAGGAGAATGTTATTTAGGAGGATTGTTTAGGAGAAGGTTATTTAGGAGGGCTGCTTGGGAGAAGGTTATTTAGGAGGGCTGTTTAGGAGAAGATTACTTGGGACGACTCATGTAGAGCAGGAGGTGGATCGGCTCCTGGCTCTGGTTGGCCAAAAGCGCAAGGTGGTGCCAGGAGATGGTAATTGCCAATACAGAGCCATCCTTTCATCCGCACTCGTCGAGAAGGCCAACGTGGGGCAGAGCATTTTGGAACTCTGTGTGAAGACTTACCAGCAGCTGGTGAGTGGTGCGGAGTTTTACGAGGCTAGTCGGTGTTTAGGTATGTGGGCCTTTTAAGGTTCAGAGTTGAAATTAGAAGCCGCTGAAGGCCTACCTGACTGAAGCAGACGGCGATGGGGACAGTTACGTTGCCAAAGTGCTTGTGGATGGCACCTGGGGGAATCACATCACCGTTTAGGCCCTGTGCGACCACCTGCAGATCGGAATCTGCGTGTTCTCCATTTACCCAGATCCGAAAGAGGGAGACTTCTTCTTAGACCAGCAAGTGGTTGTCTCATGGAAGAACAAGACACCAGAGAAGGTGCTGGAGGTGTGCAACGTGCAAGCCCTTTTAGGCTCATACTGCAGATAGGGCACGCCAGGGAGGCTACGACCTCTCTAGCAGAAAGCCTGCGTGCGACCATTTGGCAAAGACAAAATACGCCCTGGGCGAGGGCAGGATGGCTCCGGGCTCCAAGGACAGGTTCTACGAATTGGCCACGAGTGCTGTGGCCAGGGGCTCCCCTCGCAAGAGGGTGTGCTCCACGCAGACGCAGACAGTTGGGATCCACTGGCAGAATTGAAGATGCAATCTGGTTGCTATAGTTGACCTTAAGCTGTCAGTCTCATCCCTTTATTAACCTTATTTGTTGGGTTAGGTTTATTTTCAACCTCATTCTACAGCGAGGTACCTTGGGTGGCTTGTGAAAAGCGGTCACCTGCCGACAGGCGATGTAAGCATTGAGGCGGATGAGGCTCTGTACAGCAAGGACATGCTGAACGCGCTTCGCCCACCTCGAAACAGCGGACACCATCCGGAAGAAACCGTTTCTGCCAGGGACCATCGGCCTCTTTACGAGGTCTTTGGTAGTGTGTTGCCAGCTCCTGCTTCCAGGATTCAGGGTTCCCAACTAGCTATATACTGCATTATTAACCTCATCCTGGTGGGTATCCATTTTCAACCTTATCTTAGACACGCATTCGTTGCGAAACTCCTCTTCGGAACAACTTTTCTTGGAAACTGTCTGTGCTGTGACATCAGCTGCTCTACATGCAATGCGAGCTCTTTGGCCTCTTTCGGCTCCCTAGGTGCTCGGCAGCAGGAGCACAAGCCTGCAGCGTGATTCCTATCCAGGCCTACTGCGCGATTCTCCGCAAGTCCCTGGCATGGCTACAGTTCGTCACGAATGAGGACGTGCTTGGTGCTCTACCTCTTCCGCGCACGGTCTGAGAGCTTCCTTCGCAGGAGATGGCGGATGTTGATGACTGCCCGAAAACTGGCAAGTTTGCTCATCCCAATGGACCCACGGCGTCCTGCGCCTGATGCAAGAGATGGGCTGGACGCTTGAGGAGCCGACTTCCGCCGAGGTTCGCGCCTTTCACAGGCTTTGCCCGAATTACACCCAGGCGGCCGATACGAGGACGCTGTGGGTAGAGGGTGTATAGGGTTTCAGGGCAGGTCCATGATAGTATATATACTTGGGCCCCAAATTCGACGCATGGGAACAACTCTTCACCCCAAGTACATTGACCCTTTGGGGCTCAGACGATCTCATGTTGCGGCATAGAGGTTGCGAGGGTGGCAGTTGTTCGGCTTGGATTTCAAGAGGTGTAGACCGCAAAATACGATCATCTGAATCAATTTTCTCATAAGCTTAATCTTGGGAAGCTGGCAAATACTTTAAAACATATGCGTATTATTAATATTGTACGGACCCCCCTAAAAGTACCGCTAAATTTTGGAACCTAAGCCCTACACGGCCCTAACACGTCCGTTTTGTGTTCTCTATATAACCATTATACATCCTTGTAAACCCTTTAAAGGTACCTTACATTTTTTGGGGAAACCCCAACTTTTTTGTTTTGGAGATGGCAGGCGTTCGTTTGAATGCATGCACACGCGGTTTAGGGTTGTGGTTTCCGGGTTTCAGGTGGGGTTTAGCGTTGCCGTTTCAGGGTTTGAGGGCTCAGTGTCTAGGATGTAGGGCTTCGCATAAATCTGGAATCCAGACGTTGATCTCTCAACTCATCATGTACCCCCTGCCCTTCATCTTCAAACCTCTCGCCACCCCAATATTCAATATTCGCATTATGGCATACTACGAGCATTTACAAATTTGCAGGATGCTGAATGCAAACGAGTTGTTGACACACTAGCCGGGTTCTTGGCAAGCTGTACAACAATAGTCGTTTCCTATGGTTAAATGTAGTTTTTTTTTTTGCGCGGGTTAAAATAAGGGCTGCACGTGGTTGAAACCGGGCATTGAATCACAAGCGCCGGTTTCTTTCAATGTTTATACCGAGAACCCAGTGGTTGTTTCCAGCTTCAGCCTGCTTTCTTTAAAGGTCAGGAAGGTCCAGGTACTGGGCAAATTAAATGTCATGGAGTGTTTCCTTCATATATTTATTAGGGGAGGTGACTGTAGGGGGTACCAGTATGTTGATGCGATGGCTCTATTTCTGGATTTCATTCCGGCAGTTTATCCCCAGCGACAGAAACCTTCATGTATTGGTTAGTTTTGTAGGTTAGTATAGATGCAGTTCGAAGTGATTCCGGATTATTCCGATCGATCTGTTTGCCGCGTGTTCAGTTCAAGCGTGTTGTGCATGGTCTAAGGCATTTTACTTGTAGCTCCGAAGCCCTGGGTCCCAAAAAACCTAAACCTTAAACCCTACTGCACATGCAGCGTGCGGAAGAGAAACTACCTCAAGAAAACTTTCAATGTTTTCCCAGGGAGAAGAGCCAACTGCAGGCAAATGCCAGGCCTCAGATCACGGATCTTGGGATTTAGAGTTTGGGGCTCTGATCTATGGGAAAAGCACGGCCTTAAAGCTTAAACCTTAATAAACCGTAATAAACCCTAATAAAGCCCAATAAACCCAAATAACATTTATCACCCCCTATAAACCCTCATAAACCCTCAACGACCGCAATCCAAGGCTGAGAAGGATGAGTCGTCTGCGTTACACCGGGAGGCCCACATTCCATCCCATTCGTCCATACTGCCAAAAGCTGGTATGTCTGCATACATTGTTGCTGATGTAACGTACCTGTCGCTACGATGCATTGTCGTCAGCAGCAACAGCAGCAGTACAAGTACCGGCAGTACTGATCGTAATGTGAGGGTTCTTTCTTCATGGGATGGTCGTTGTCAGGTTGCTGTGCTTGGAGGATGTAATGCGCTCGGCATGTCCATCTGTTTGGATTTGTGCCTCGCCTATGCTTGCTGTCAGACGTGTCACGTGAAACAGTCAATCACTCCTGCCAATGATGTTGCTACTGAATACTGTTGCGCACATCATCCCGCCGCATGATGATTTAAGATGGCACCGTATAGCCCTATTTTAACCCATCATGAGCAAGTTACCTAGCCTGGCTCGAGAGCAGGCTTACCCGATGGAACGCGTTGTGTTCTTATCTGCCTACCAAACATGCATGACTCGAAGCCCTCAGATCAGCCATTGCCAGTATTAGGCTTACTAAGCGATCACTAGGGATGGACATAGGGGTCACTTTGGTAGTTCAGTACAATCCCTTATACATTCCCTTATAGGAACAAATGTCCACTAATTATTGGGGAAGATTAACCCCTATATGATCTCTTTTTCCACGTAATTGTCTATTTCTGTGTTCCATTGGACTTTGCATTAGTTATATGAGAAATATTGACCCTAAAGCCTCGGATGTCTCATCCTGGACCCTTCTTTTGGGTTTAGGGCTTGTTGTATGGTATGAGGTGCCTCAAACAGAGCTTGACAGCGCGTGGAGTTGTAATTTGCTTGCGGATGATGTCCTAAACCCTAATCCTTAAACCCTACGTAATCCCTGAACCTTAAACCCTAATCCCTAAACCTTAAACCCTAATCCCTAAACCTTAAACCCTAATCCCTAAACCTTAAACCCTAATCCCTGAACACCCTAAACCGTGAACTTTAAATCCGAATGAAACCCTAAAACCCTACACCCTAAAACCCTAAACCCCTAAACCCTGCAGCCCTAAACCCTAACCCTTAAACCCTTGAGCCTTAAAGCATTAAAACCTTAAACCTTTAAACCTTACCTAAACCTCGACAGGTCGTCCAACGCCTAACACGACCTTGGCTGCAGTCGTCGCTTGGTTTCAGAGATATGCCTCTTCAATCTGGGGTTTGGGGTACAGGTATTAGGGTTTGGTGTGTTTGTGGGTTTAGTTTTTTTTGGTTTAGGGTTTAGGTTTTTTTGGGGTTGAGGGCTTAAGGTTGAGGGTTTCAGGTTTAGGGTTTAGGATTTAGGGTCGAGGGTTCAGGATTTAGGTTTCAAGGTTTAGGGTTCAAAGTTTACGGTTTAGGATTTAGGGTCTGGGATTCAGGATTTAGGGTTCAAGGTTTAGGGTTTAATGTTGAGGTTTAAGGTGTTGGGGTTTAAGCTTCAAGGTGAAAGGGTCTAGGGTTTGGGGTTTAGGGCTTACAGCAAGGTTAGGGTGTAGGGCCAGGGTTTAAGGTTTAGGGTTTATACATATCAAGGGGCCAGGACTGTAGCCCATTACTGCAGGGGGGGGTTGACCCCTGGACCGGTCTCAGGTTTAGGGGTTTCCGAAATACGCGCAATCATGGCTTTTTACCGAGAAGAATCGGAAAAATGGTTATCATTATTAAAGAAATAGCACATCTAGGTAGGTGCAGCGACTGCAAACATCGCTTTGGAGGTCGGCTTCTCGAGAAAGGGTTTATGATCGCTAAACCCAGAGCCCTAAACCTTAAATCCTCAACCTTAAACCTGTATTATCATCCAGCCAAGAAGTCGCCGTTGCAGAGCACTTGGAAGCCAAGTAATTGGACCCTAAACCCTAAACTAAAAGTATGTCGATTACAAGCATTGCCATCATATTAATTAGGGAGCTCCGGGGCCCAGGTAGGCAAAACAAACATATCTCGAAACAGCGCCAAACCCCAACCCCTAACCTTAAATCCTACACCCTAAACCCTAAACCCCTAAGCCTTAAATCCTAAACCCTAAATCCTAAACCTTACACACATAAACCCTGAACCCGAAACCCTAGCCCTAAGGGTCCAAGTACCTAATAATCATATACTTACCAAAAACCTGTACTAGAATTATGCTTAACGAAAACCCAAGTACCAAAATAATTGGGTACATGAACCCTAAACCCTATATATCCCTAGATATCCGTTAAAGGGACATAACTATTGGGTACTTGGACCCTTAGGGCTAGCACAAGGCTTCTGGCTCAAAGCAACTGGCCGCCAGCCGTCGACAAGGCCAAGCTTCATGAAGGGTTTAGGATTTAGGGTTGAGGGGTTAGGGTTTTAGAGTTTGGGGTTTTAGGGTTTAGGGTTTTAGGGTTTAGGTTTTTAGGGTCTTATTAGAATTACTTAGGGTTTGGGGAGGGTGTCATTTTGAGCTTAAACTTTTATGAATATGAAAGGGTTTAGGGTCTAGGGTCTGATTTAGGGTTTAGGAATTAGGAACAAGGGTTTCGGGTTTCGGATGATTCAGGAATTAGGGTTTCTTTGTTGTATATAGGCCATTCTGGACGGGGACATTTAAAGCAAGGCTTGTTATTATGGATTCTCCCTGCCCAATGATGGAGAATCAAATGGAAATGGAAGATGAAATGCGACAGGGATTATATGCTGTACAGTGGTTTGGATACAAGAAGTCGTTTTTTTTGTTGTTGTTTTTTTAACGTTTTTGGGTGACTGCATGTGGGGTTCCTCACAGTTGGTGAGAGTAGCACACTGGTGTCCAATTTGGGGAGCCATAAGTCAAAATCGTACCACTTGAGGCTTGGGAGATTACAGCTAGTTGGTATCCGCTTGTGTCTTCAAAGTTTGCAGGTTGAGTGCGTAAGTAGCCAGGAGTGTGATCCAGAGCTAGGTGAGTATTGCTACTAGAATTGATCTGTCGAAGCACAAAGAAACGTGAAATCAAAAGCAACTCGCTGAAGATTGGAGACAGCATGGTGGTAGTAGAAGCCCTGAACCTAAAGCCCAAACTTTTACCGCCTTCTCCATGGGGTCAGAGCGTTGAGATGGATTCCTCGTTGCCATTACCAAGACCCTCCTACTACCCGTTATTGGGACCAAGTAGCGGGTACTTGAGCCTTAATACGGGATAGCAAGAGGGTCTAGGAACTGCTTGGGACTTAGCTTGGACCTTAGGCCCCTTAACCCCTTTGGGTTTCCCTTATAGTCCTACTATAGGTAGCTAAAGGTTAACCCTTAGTAGGGGTCCTACGTGCCACGTAGGGAACACGCATGATTCCTGAAACTTCAGCACTAGACCAAAGGCACTGGCAAAGTTGTCACCCACTCGCAACTGCCAGGGCTAAGCAGGCCATTTTGGGGGTGCAATGTAGGAGCCTGGATGTTGACAAGAATAAGAGGGTGTAGGGGTTTGGAATCAATGCCATGGTAAAGACCATCCTGAGCAAATCTGCAGATTTGAGGTTTAGGGTTCAGGGTTCCCCTCCAAGGCACCTCTTGTTGCAAGGACCTGCATGCTACGGCAGCGCTTGCCACGTAATGTAAAAGCCTACATAATTTCCAACGCTAGGGTCCCGCATTCCATGTATGATGAGGGTAGAGTAGAGAGTACTTCAAGTAGATCTCAACATGATAGTAGCACCAGGATGGGCTTTCTTAATCTATCCTTGTTTAGGTGCTAACAGGGAAAGTTCGGGTCTAATAGCCCATGCTGGTAGTTGTGAAGGCCCTTACATTAATGTAGACCCCTAATTAATAACCCCCCTCCCCCTAATGGGGATTATAATAGGGATCCTAACATTAAGGCCCTTAAAAGGAGGCGATTTATTAATCATGGGTCCCCATTATATACACTATAATCCCTATATAGCCCATGATAGTAGTTTCCATTTTCTTTTCCAGTACCCTGATGTAACTCCAATATGTACCCTATAGTCCCTACATTACACCGGAGATGGGGCCCCACTCCCTATGCCCAAGCTACCGCTCTACCCCCAACACTCTCGGCTCCTCGAGCAAAAATCCCACGTTCGCGCGATTTAGGGTTTAGGGTCTGCCCAGACCCTCCTCTGTAGTTCCTTTTTGGGTAGTACATTGCGATTCCTTACCCCCAAAAACCATAACAAACGCAAAAAGGGAACTGCATAGGAGCCCGTGGGTCTAGGTCCCGCCTCCTGGAAGCAAAAACCCGCTTTCATTTTATCACCTACAGGAGCCTTAAACGCTGCCCAGGGACTGAAGAGCTTAGGGTCATAATATTGGTAGTTATTTAGCGACTTACATCACAAAACTAGCTCAAACCTCACACATCAAACTGCAAGATTGGATCCCAATTCTAGCTTAGCCCCCGCAACCCTGACGTTGAGCTCCCGGCTACAAGGAAATCTCATAGCAGATTCCCTGGCTAGGGGTATATGAGCCTTAGTCAGTCTAAACTCCTTAAAGGCGATTATATAGGGAATTATATAGGGGACTACTATAGGGGTTCTTAGGGGGCATACTAAGAGTTTAGACTATGGCTCATATGACTGCACTTGGTTGGGCCGCCGAGTGTACATGTCATGTTGTGTTCGGCCCGTGTAGGCCTTCACATCGAAAGGAGGGAGAGAGAGAGCTTGAGCTGTATGATTTCAATCGCCAGGGCAAGAGGAGCTGCAAGCAAGAAGAAGAAGAAGAAGTGACAATCCACAGTCTTTCGCAGCCATTTCGCTTCAGGACTGGTCCTGGTGTTCCCCTGGCTGAAACCAGAGTCAAGAAAAATCCAGCATACCCTAACTCATCATTAGGGGCCTTCTTATTCAAAACAAGAAGTAACCAGCCCTTAACCCTAAACCTTAAACAACCCTTCATGCATTACCAGCCAACTCCCCTAACCATTTAGTTTAGTGTGGTCGCTGAGCTACCATGTGTCGCTAGGCAGGGAAAATCCCATGTTTGAGCTATAGCCAGTTAGTTATTCTCCGACACTCTCTTCAATGTACACAACTGTACGTCAGTGTTTGGAAATATAAGCCTGACCCCTAAAATCTAAGCATACCGATACCTCCCTAGATGTGTCATGCTTGAGCCATGATGTGTACGTGGTGCCCTGCGGAAATGCCTGCGGAGTCCAGTTTAGTCACTCTGCACGAAGGGCTATTGCTATTGCCTTTGCTTTTACTTCTACTAGTACTATTGCTTTTACTATCTTTTACTTTTCCTAGTATTCTTAAAACTATTAGTATTTCTATCCCGAATACGATTACCGTTGCTATTACGAATACTATCACTTTTTCTAGTTCTATTTCCATTACTATTGATAGTACTATTACTATCAAACTTTTCCTAATACTATTACCATTGCTATTACTTGTTGTTTCACGCATTTTTTTGTTAGTAATTACAGTTACTACGACTATGATTGTTTTTTAAAGCCTTCGTGGCAACAGCTCTCTAATTCAAGCCCATAACTTCGCCTAAGATTTCCGCTGCAATGGTGGAACCCAAACAGCGCACTCAGGGGTAAGACACGCATGCACCAAAGGTGCATCAAGTGCTGCGAGAGAAGCGGACTACCAACTGATGCATGGCCAGTTCAATCCGGATTCCATTTGAAGCGCAAGGGGTGATACTTCGAAGATGTTTTGAAAGCATTCGCGCATATCATCGTCCTGGGCGAGAAACCCATACTGTACGTGAAGAACTCAAAGTTCGAGACAGGGCGGGTGGTTGGCCGGTTCTCGGACACCCCGACCTTCCACAACAAATATTTTATTGTGGAAGAGCCCAAGGCGGGAAACTCCCTTCTTAGCTTTACCCAAATTTCTTTTGTGCCCTGTCAGGACGTGACCGCCCACCGGGATCATAGAATCCTGGGGCCCTTCCTGAAAAGGTTGGGCGTGAGAGAAGGCTGGCGCAAAGTCTTTATCGCCGAAGCGCGTGAGACTTCGTACTAAAAAAGGAGTTCCGCATTTGCAAACATGTCATCATGAGAGTGTGGAGCATGCAGTTGAGCATAATCCAGCCCCTAAACCGTAAGTATCATCATCAGAAGCTTGTAAAACGCGGCAGAGCACATTGGGTCTTGCCAGGCACAAACATCCAAACATGCAACACCTTGAGGCTTAAACACTAAACCCCAAATATCAAAGCTGAGAAGTTGCAGCAGGTTTGGTCAGAAGATAACGGGGTTATATTTGGGATAACAATGGAAAAGAAATGGCAACTACAAGGACTATAGGGATTATATGGATCATATAAGTGTTATATAGGGCTATATTGGGGTTATATTGGGATAATGGAAAAGAAAATGGAAACTACTATCTAGGGCTCAGGCTTTAGGGTTTAGGGCTTAGGGTGTAGGAACTCAATGACTCTTGTCCTGTGCTTGTTCTTTTGCAACAAAAGTTTGGGCGTGCTGGGGAGCGTGACTGCCTGTTCCAAAGGTTTGCCTGTTAGGTTTTAGGGTGTTGTGGTTCAGGGTGTAGGGTTTTGGGTTCAGAGGTTAGGGTTAAGGGGTTTAGGGTCTGGGGGTTTTGGGTTTTGGGTTTTGGTTTTGCTTCGATGTGAGCTTACATATGCAGGAGCCTTTGCGCAGCATGTAGACACCTAATTGATAACCCCCCCTCCTTTTAAGGGCCTTAATACTAGGATCCCTATTCTAATCCCTATTAAGGGGAGTGGGTTTATTAGTCATGGATCTTCCTCGCGGTCAATAGTCGGGTATTTGAGATTTTCGCTACTGATAATTGGAGTGCAGGCTTTAGGTTCTTGGGCCCTTGGCGAACAGCTTTTGAGCAACAGATGCAATCTCCCTTGGATACTGCCCGCATTCAGGAAAATTGGAATAATCTTCATAATATTGTTCTGTAGGGCCCTTTGATATGAACCCTATCCCTGAACCCTACATAAACCCTAAACCCAGGACCCGGAAACTCCATTTTGTCGTTCCCAATGCTAAGCCCAAGGAGAAGAGAGTCGAAGAAGTGGCTCGGCACAGTGGAGTTTGGAAAAAAATGGGTTTAGGGTTTAGGGTTTAAGGTTTAGGGTTTAGGGGTTCAGGGTTTAGGGTTCAGGGTTTAGGGCTCAGGGTTTAGGGTTCAGGGTTTAGGGGTTATGGCTTGGGGTCTATTAAGCCCCGCAACCCCCCGCCCCCTAATATTGAATACTCCCCCTGATGTGATACTACGATATGTTGGGAGGAGGGGTGGGGGATTCAATGTTAGGGGGAGGGGTTTAAATCCTAAACTCCTGGGGGAGGGTATAGCAAGGCTGCCAAAGATCCAGTTTAAGAT